ATTTTTAAAATAAACTAAAATAATAATAAAACAAAAAAACAATAATAACTAAAGGACAAAAAAAACTAAAACAAAAAAAAACATAATAATTTAAGTAGTATTAGGGGTGCCAATAGCAATGTATAGGGGTGCTATTAGCCAACCCCAAACTAATACAAAGTGACGTGACACCTTCTTAGAGTAGGATTCTTAGTTATGAATTTTCTATGTTTTTTTTTGAAATACTCAAAATATTAATTATGTTAAAAGACTTCTATACCCTGTATCAACGAAATATAATTTTCATTGTAATCAGATCATTTTTGGTAATTTTGTAATCATTTTAATTAGCGTTTAACCTCCAAACCATCCAACTTTCTAGAAGCCTTTTTACTATCTCAATCTCTTAATCCATCCACAACCTCTAACCCCTTTTTTTTTTTTTATTCAGTTTTGTTTTTCTTCTCCATCTCTTAATTTTTTTTTCATTTCTTTTCTAGTTTGTTTTTATTCTTATTGATCTCTCCATCTCTCATTCTGTCTCTCTTTTATTTTCCTTACCCCCCACATAAGAGAAGTATACACATGGGTTTAATCAGGTAAATCAGTACAACTCTCAAGTTGTTCATCTACGACAAAAGAGCATACACAGGTCTATTAATATATATATATATATATATATGTTTACATGAGACTTAAATATAATAATATGTATATTTTTATTTATATTTTTCTACAAAAATATTTATTAACTTATTATAAGTCAAAAATTTTTAATTTTTTTAAATACTTTTTGTTACTGATTTAACATCAAAATAAACCAATAAGTTGTTTAAAAAAATTATCGTCATCGTGTAAACATAAAGCATTGGTTAAAATATAAAATGTTTGTGTGGTGTGGGTGCCAGCGTGACGGACCGTTTGTGTGTGAGCCTTCCAGGTGTCCCTTCTTCACCTTTCATTCCATTTCTTGCCATTTAATTTGTTCACTTTATATGTTTTAGGGTTTTCTGATTCATGAATCATCTAAATTCCCTCATTAATTCATATATTCACCAAGTCCTTCGACTCCATTGATACAATTCAAACTCAAGGCATCATAAGGTATCGACTTGAATTCCATTGTAATTTCGAAAGGGTTTAAAGATTCAGTTTCCATGATTAAGCTTAGCTGGTGGTGTGCTTCTTGTTCATTCCATTTCGATCTTCTTTTAACATATGAGCTAATCATTCAGTTTCCATGATTAAGCTTAGTAGTATTTAGTGATGAATTTAGGAACCCATAGCTCAACCCATGATTTGGGCTTGGAAAATCTGTCAAACCAGGAACTTTTGTTTAGTTCGGGCTTAATTAGGCTTATCGGTCTATCTGGCTTATTCGCACAGCTCGTTAAAGTAGCAGGGAAGCAAACTATGAGGATGAATGTCATAATAATGATGACAAGCATTTAGGCAAGGAAACTCCATCTGCATTAGGTAGAAATGAGGCTGAATCTGAAGACTGTTTCACAAGATTTATCAGCTGACAACTCTTGGGATGTCAAGGAAGAAAATGGTGAGAACCATGTGGGATCAATGGATCATGATGTTCTTGCAGTATCTATGGTGAAGCTCCATTCTGCTCAGGAAGCAATTGAGAGAGGTACCTTCTTGATCACCATGTTTTCCTTTTATGCTAAATCATTTTTTGCACTTCCTACTTGTTTGGAAAAGGAGTCTCATGTTCAAGATGGAATCGATTTGGGCATCCTAAAAGACCCATTGTGTTGTTGTGGTGTCTTTTAGTAAATATGTAGATACATACTCATATTCATCTTTGTTAGCATGGTTTGTATCAGGAAGACTGGAAGAGTATGCATTCTCTTCCAAATGCCAATATGCTAGTAATTCTGGTTTTCGAATAATGGTTGGTGCTTATAGCAGATATAAATGGGCTTTGCAGAAGTGCAGAAATTAAAGGATGTTGGGAAAGAGGATCCCTTGTTCTTGGATGACTCAATTCAGCCATCAGAACCAAGTAATCTAGAGGGTTGTGAAGCAAGGTTGTTTGAAGAGTTCCAATCTGGTGAGACTTCCAACACCTTCGAAACCCAAACGATCTTGAAGCAAAATCTGGTTCAGGGAGACTTGAAAACAGAGGTAGAGGAAATCTTGAAGCAAAGAATCGAAGTAGAGGTACAATATATAGCGATATCAGAAGCAATCCAACAGTTAAAGGCAGGGTACATAGATCAGATTGAACTTATGGTCCAACAAAAGAAGCTAGCATTAGAACACATGGAGGTGATGAAGAAGCTTGAATCTGCAGAAAGCAAAGCTAGAGAGTTGAAGAGAGAAGCTGAGAAGTTGAAGGTGACATGTGAAGAGATTTTGGAGAGGGAAGAAGTATTGAAAGAACAAAATAGGGTATGTATATTAACATCTTGTTTTACAATCCAGTTAATACTGTTTGTTTTAGTTGTGTATCTGTGTCTCCTGCACTTTTCCTCCATACACAGGAATCTTGTACCTTTGCCCACTTAGTTAAATGACATTTGCAGCATTCACAAGAAGCTTTGTTGTAACACACACACACACACAAAATACAGCAGGATCTTAGGGGCTGTTTGTTTGGCTCTTAATGGTGGCATTAAGAGCCAACCTCTTAATCGGTCAGAGGTTGAGGTTGTTTGGCAAAAAAAAATGCCTCTTAATGGTTACAATCCCCCTCTTAACCATTTTGCATCTAGGGTACCACTAAACCATTCAGATTACAATTCTTCCCACTTTACCCTTCCAC